CCCCAAAACCCCAAAACCCCAAAACCCCAAAACCCCAAAACCCCTTTTGTCTAGTGTTACATTGAACAATCAACATTTATATATTCATCTCTTTTGTTTTGAAGAGGAGATAAGAAGAAACCTTTTAATTTTGCGAACTTGATAAACCAGAAAGCTAATCTACCCTGAACTGCTTAATCCTGTTGGCTCAAGAATGAGGAAAATGCACAATAAGTCAATATAAATCTGAATTTTATGAAAACCCACAGAATATTCTAGCAATTAATAAGTATATTGTGGCAGAGTGCTCTTATCCATGTCATCAAAGAAAGGATGCTTGAGTGCCATCCTCGCTGAAATTCTTTTGTTTGGCTCTAGAGCTACAAGGGATTCGAGGAGGTCCAGACCATCTTCATCTAATTTTTCAACATGCTTTTCGAGATCCTTGCCCTTCCACTTAGGGAAAGACTTTTTAAAATATTCTAGCTTAAGAGCTTCAGGCCAATTAGTGCTTGTTGGTGTACCTTGCACTTGGAATATCTTGAATATTTGGTCAATCTCAGAATCACCAGCAAAGAGAGGTTTCTTCTGAGCCATTTCTGTCATAATTCAACCAATCGACCATTGGTCAACTGGTGTTGAATATTTCTTTTGTCCTAATAGAATTTCTGGAGCTCTGTACCAGAGAGTCACTACTTCATGAGTATATGTCTTCACTGGAAGAGCAAAGGCTCTGGCAAGACCAAAATCTGCTAACTTTAGAACACCATTTTTATCAAGTAGAAGGTTTTGAGGCTTGAGATCCCGATGCATTACTCTATGAGCATGTCAGAATGCAATTCCTTGAAGAATTTGGTAGGTAAAACTCTTTACTTCTTCCATTGGCAAGGGACCACCGACTTTTCTCATATACTTTTTAATATCATAATCTAGGTACTCAAATACCAAATGTAGCTTCTCATCCTCATAAATAACATCTTTGAGTTCAACAATGTTGGGATGCTTGAGGCCTTTGAGGAGGGCGATCTCTCTGATAGCAGTTGAGGGAACTCCATCATCTTCCTTCTCAAGTCTGATTTTCTTAAGTGCTACAATTTCGCCAGTGGTCTTATCCTTAGCTTTGTAGACGACTCCGTAGGTACCTTCTCCTAACTTCTCGAGCCTTTCGTATTTATCAAGAGCAGATCCATGTTCTCTGAATTTATAGTCCTCCATTTTGACAGTTTATTTAAATATTTCAAGCTTTCATAATTTTTTAGGGGTTTTGGGGTTTTGGGGTTTTGGGGTTTTGGGG